CCCTAGGGCGAAACCATCGTAAAATGGGGGTTGGGGAGAGATACCCATTAGGTGTTATTTCCTTAAAGGAATTTTTTTTTCACCATCAGCAAGACAGCATTTGAGGAATACGGCAACATTTCAAAAAGGGGGCTTCTCACATCCCGCTCTCCAAAAAACGGTTCACAAATTTGGAGGAAACCAGCATCAGGAATACCTTAAGGCATCTTTCATACTTTTGGGATGGGGAAGAAAAGGGATTTGTCCCCTTGCAGTTTCAGTTGCATCCATCTTTGGCAGGAAATCCCCCTTCGACGTGAACGTGTTAATCTTTAATGGTTCACGAATAGGGAAGATTTCCCACCCTATCGGTGGCTGCCCACTTCTTACCGTTCCTTCCCCATAAATGTTTCAACACGGGACATTTCCCATACAGAGGCAGAGGTTGTATTTACAGTGCAGTTAAACCCCGAAATCCCAGCCTAACTTCCCTTCTGATCAATCCCGAATTGAGATAAACTCCTAAACTAAATTTCTAATCCCTGCATTAAAACGGCTTTTCCTCCCCCCCGGACAGAAATTGCCAGCTTTGGTACAGAAAAAAAAAAGTAATAAAAATGACTAGATTGAACTGAAATATAATGGCCAAATGCATGATTCCTTTCTGCCCCTGCGGGAAGTGTACAATAAACCCTTGCACACCATGGCTAACTACATAAATTTCCACACTGGGAGGCACCAAACTCTTCCTTCCTCTAAATTTGGCTATTTTTCTCAGCCAAGGGGAACAAAAATTAGATTCACACAGAACGCTCCTTCTGGCATAACTGACAGAGCAATGTTCTCGAAGAGGACCAAAGACTCCCCCTGCTTTTCTCCTCCTCTTGGCACTGGGGGAGAATCTGCAAGGGAGAAAGGGTGTCATCTTAACAGCGGCCACTTGGGGGCGGTGTTTCTAACACAGTTCAACGCAACCCACCAGCATGGCGTCTGAGAAGTGTCACCCCATAATACTGAGCAGGGGTGTTACCCTCCCACCTCACTCTCCTCTGTCGGTGTCATTAAGCAGACTTACAAAGGTGTGTTTCAAAATGTGAATTCTGATTTTTCCCCCCAAAGTAGTTTTATTCATCCTAAAGGACCCCATTCCCACCAGTGACTAAGGTGTAAAAGGATGTCCTCGCACTTCGGATGGAAACCTCCTATTCTTTTCCAGCCGAACAACCGAGAATTTCCTCTTGAAAACTGCTCCCCCTTTTTTTAACACCATCTTGAATGCCCAGCACCCCCTTAGAAAGCTTACATTTCATTTGCAACGGGTTTGCGGCTACAAAATAGAGGTTTCTGTTAAAACGGCCTGCTTTCGCAGCCTATCCCCGATCCAGCGCTCTCCAGATGGGTCGGACTCCGACTCCCATCACCCCCAGCAAAGATCATCCCACGGTGTTTGTAGCAGAATTGCAAACTCGAGAGCTTGTAGGATCATGGGGTCGGTGTGGGTGGGAGTAACACCCTCCTAAGAGGGCCGCAGAGGTGTGCGTGTTTAGAGGATGTGCAAAATCTTTTGTTGTTGCTGCTGCTGTTGTTTTTAGATCAAGACTAATGGGTTTCAAAGTCAAAATTGCCCTGTGCCCAAAGAGTGGAGGGCCAGCCCCAGGGTTTAAAATCCATGCCTCCCAATGCAAGTACTGGTGTCCCTATAGGGGAATAGATCTAGGGCTCATATGGGTACTTTCGGCTGCCAGACCCTCCTCTTTTCAAAATGGAAGGGACGCACCGGGAAAACTAGAAGGTCCCTGTTATTACTTCTTGCTCTGGATACTCACAGAGCCTCATAATAAAAGCAAAACAAAATTAAAAAATAAAATAACTTAAAACCAATCCTTCATACAGGTGGGGGTGGGGGGGCGTGTCGTCCCAATCCCCAGAATAAATAAAATTAAACCGCACAGAAAGGGAATATGCCTTGGGGTGAGCCAGAATCAAGCGAGACCGTCGTCCCCCTGGGCTTTATGGTAGCCAGCCTCACGCCCTGGCCAGCTGTTTGGACTGAAGGAAAAGAAGAGAACTACGGGGTCCATCGTCCGTCGGTGAGGAATGGTCAAGGCCACAGATAAAGCAGGGGACCCCCGGGAAGAGGCTGGGGGACCCCCTTCCATGTCCTTTCTCTAGTCTCAGAAGAGATGCAGGTTCCCTTCGCCCCTCCCATCGGACCACCCACCCACCCACGGCGCTTCTCAGAGTCAGTCCCTGATCGGAGAAAACGTGGAGGGGGCGAGATCGCGCCCTGTCCAGTCAATGGCTTTTGGGGTGGGCCAAGGGCTGGGGGGGGGCCTCCCCTCTTCATTCATCTAACTGTCGGAGGAACTGCTCTCGCCCACGTTTGGTTCCTGGATGTTTTCAGCCTCTTCTGGGATGTCCTGCATCATATGAAAATCTGGAAAAAAACACAGTTACAAAGTTTACTGAATCTTGGTCGCTAATGAGAAAATCTTGTTAAAGGCTGCAAGTGTAGGGTGGGTGGGTGAGCGACAGGGAGATAAGACAGGTAATAGATATGCTATGTAGCCAGGTGGGGTTGGGCATCTTGGCAATCTATTCGTTTCCTGTAAGGGACCATTTAACAATGAAAGTCTATCCTTGCATTTTCACAGTGCCGAGCTCCATTTACAGTGGCGCCTCACTAGACAGTTACCCCCGCATGATGGTTTTTTCACTAGACATTGACTTTTTGCCATCGCTATAGCGATTCGCAAAACAGTGATTCCTATGGGGGAATTTCGCTAGACAATGTTTGGTCCCTGCTTCGCAAACCGATTTTTGCTAGACAACGATTTTGACAGCTCCCTCCACACTTGCAAAACGGGTGTTTTCGGGACCTAAGCTTCGCAAGACAGCGATTTAAACAGCTGATCGGCGGTTTGCAAAGCGGCTTTCCTATGGCCAATCTTCGCTAGACAACGACGATTCTTCCCCATTGGAACGCATTAAACAGGTTTCAATGCATTCCAATGGAGAGATGCTTTTTGCTAGACGATGATTTCACTAAACAGCAATTTCAGTGGAACGGATTATCATCGTCTAGCGAGGCACCACTGTATTTCACTTTCTGGAAGAGCTTTACAAGAGCCCGCACTGGCCATTAGAGAGAGGCGTGAACAACTCACCGCGCGGGCTGGGAGGGGGAGACTGTGGGTGGATCATGCCTTCTTCCTTTGACAACCCGTCCAGGTCCTCGTCACCTTCCTGCAGTCTACTGGACATGCCATGGTAAGCAATCTCATCCCGTTGGCCACTGGCAAAGGTCCGATGGAAAGAGTGGCAGCCGGGCGAGAGGGGTTCACCAGCTCTGCTCTGGAAAGGTGGAGGAAAGAGGGAGTCTGGATTCAGGTCTCTTAAAAAAAAGGAGAACTAACTAACTCCACAGGTCCCAGCTAGCATGAATCCATACCCTAGGATTGAATGAAAGTTAGCGTGTTGCATGGTCAAACAGGAGATGGCAAGAATAAATATGAAGATTTACAACACCTTCTAGACCTGACACCAAAGAAAGATGTTCTTCTCATTCTAGGGGATTGGAATGCTAAAGTCGGGAGTCAAGAGATAAAAGGAACAACAGGGAAGTTTGGCCTTGGAGTTCAGAACGAAGCAGGGCAAAGGCTAATAGAGTTTTGTCAAGAGAACAAGCTGGCCATCACAAACACCCTTTTCCAACAACACAAGAAGCGACTCTACACATGGAAATCACCAGATGGGCAACATCGAAATCAGATTGACTATATTCTCTGCAGCCAAAGATGGAGAAGCTCTATAGAGTCAGCAAAAACAAGACCTGGAGCTGATTGTGGCTCTGATCATCAGCTT